CGGTAGTTGGTTCAAATTGGGATCCCAATACAAAAACTCGAGCTAAGATCCCAGACCTCAACCTCCTTTGACCTGCGCCTTAAAGGAAACAGAGGAGAAAACAGCTGGCAACCACCAAAACATCCTCTCAATGGCAACAAACACCGGCCTAGGCGCCAAATTCGCGATTCCCTCATCACATTGCATAACCACTATCTAAATCTAGCAAACGTTACAAGATGCGAAGATCTCGACTCAGATTTAGCTGAGCCCGAATTTAGCTATAAACACTATAAAAAGTCCTCATTATAGGGCAAGGAACCCAAGTTACCAACAACATTGTGTAATTTCTCTCCCATTATCAATATATCCCCCTAGAAGCAAGAGACTCCTTTGAAGAGTGGATTAGCCGAACCTCGAGCTGGTAAACCACTATAATTCCTCGGTACGATTGGTCCCCATCCCCAATAAACCCCATTCCAAAGAGCTTTGAAGCTCATATTTACTCGAGTCAAAGCACTCACTATCTCCACTCTGTTCAATTGTGCTTTGTACATCATCACATTATATGCCTATAAATTTGGCATTGATTGCACCCACCCACGGACCCCAAGTGGAGTAAACAACTCCACAACAAAACAACACTTGCAAGTTCCAGATAACAATAATTGCATATCAAATCCAGTTTAGTGCACGAATATGCATCCAAAGTATTAAACTTGACAAACCGCTGTAGACGCAATATAGGGAACGTTCAAAAGATAGATACTATTCAATTTTCCATCTTTGAAATTCTAAATTTCCACATCCATTAGTAGCGAATAAGACAGTAATAGACCTTCGTCCCAATCAAGACCAAGCCAAGAAAGATCTTGAAGCACGGCATCCTCAGACGCCCTGGTAGATCTCTCCAAGTCTGTGTCTTCAATTCGAAGAACGAATTTCCCACCCTTGGACCTGTAAAAATTACACTTATATTGGGTGTGAAACATAGTCGAACTAGTGAGGTAAAGGATAAATTCATTGAAGTGGAGACGTTATATTCGTGTGTGTGTGTGAGAGAGAGAGAGAGAGAGAGAGGGGAGGGGGGACGAACCTGGCAAACAAGTAATTGAAAAGGGCAGTTCTGGCACCGCCGACGTGGAGATTACCGGTGGGTGAAGGAGCGAAACGAACGCGGACGTGTCCTTCTTCAACCCTCTTTGAAAGAAGAGGAGTTGGAGACGAGGATATGGATGAAGCAGATATTGAAAAGCCTCTTCTTCGGAGAAATGAGGTGTTGTTGTTGTTGATAATTGATGATAATTGATGGAATATTAGTGGAGCAGCTCCCTCCGGGAACGGGATTGTCCTAATCCTAATCCTCAACCACGGCGCTCCTGCTCCTCCTCCTACCATGGTCGTCACCATTCGTTGTACAGAGACTAATGGAGTTTGAGTTTCAGCGCTGATAGCTTTTGGCTCTTGTTAAAGAAGTGGAGGGATTGTATCGGAAGGAATCAAATAGGGATAATTATGTCCAGAAAGAACCCCCTACCACCACTACTTGCCAATTCGCCAACTAGTGAATTGCTGTTGTCTCATGCTTATGCTTGCTTGCCTTCGACAATCCGCGACCGATATGCCTGCAGCTTCAACAGATGACTGCCTGTCACTTGAATCCAGCGCTACATCGCTGGGGTGGGAGGAATCCAATAAATATTTGGGTAAATGACACATTGTACCCTAAAAATATTGGGGTGGCCCTACTCCAGCTGTTAAATATCTTTCTCCACCTCGTTTATCTCTTTAATTTTAAATTATTAAATTTATTTCAATTATATTCACGCCGATTAATTATTAAATTTATTCCATCTCTACTCATTTATTTATAAACTAATAATTGATTGTGTCTGAAGGTATGATGTTACTTATAAATTAGTTATAAATATTTGTCCATATATATATAAAATAAAATACAACATTGTAATAAATAACGAACAAAATGAATCTATTAATATTTTTTATTATATCAACATATATGCATAACATATATTTCCATATTAAATTATTACGCTAAGAAAATTATGTTATAATTAGTGAAATATAATAATTCAAACATCTGAAAAAATATATCAGTTAACAACATTCAATGTTCTGTTTTTGATTCAAAATCCACGATTTTAACATTCATAATCAACTTTATCTAAATAATAACAAAATTCATAACTAATAGAATGAAAATTAAAACAATACTCCCACAAATAAACTAAGTTTGCAGATGTTGTCAAATGACCAAATATAACTATCAGAAATTCAATCGACTTTCAAAAGATACGACCTGACTATTGAATTTGTATGATTTGAGTTTATAGTAGTGCTTTTAATTTTATATCATTTTTCTCAGTTATTTATATTCTTAATATGTTTTTTTAAACTAAACGTTATTTAGTACTGAATTGTTTAGTAAAGATTGTTGTTTCGTGTTGTTCATTAAATATTGAATTTGTATGATTCGTGTTCATAGTATTACTTATAATTTTATATGGTTTATCTCGTTTGTAATTTTATATCATTTTTCTCGAATATTTAGATTTCGGTTATTTAGTAAATATTCTTACTTTATGTTGTTCACTAAACACTAAATTTGTACGATTCGTGTTTGTATATGAATTTAATCTAGTATATTTTAAATGTTAAGCATATTATCTTTAATATATCTCTTGATATCTAAGTTGTCCAATAACTTGCATTTAATCTTGTATATTTTACATATTAAGCATATTTTATTTGTTAAATTAGATTTTTTGCAAGTTATGTTTTTTTTATTAATTATGGAAAAAATAAAATTAACTATTAAATTTGTATGATTCATGTTTGTAGTATTGCTTGAATGAAAAAGATAGATACAGATGAATATTTTTGTGATATATACTATCTATATAATATTTATTACATATTTTCTTTTAGAGAGAGATACAGAGAAATATTGTTTTAATATACTTTCTCCCTGTTATATATATTATCTATCTATAAAGATATGTAATATTTGCTTAAATTAGGCACTATATAATATTTTCGTGAGATACATAGAAAAATATTATGAAAAATTGATACTTTTTGCGTAAATTGAGTGAGAGATACATAGAAGAATGAGAGAGAAAGATTCGCTTGATTTAAGGAAAAGATTTGGAAAAATTAAATTTTGGAATATCAATTTTGAAAACTATAAGTTTTAAGTAACAAAAATATTTCAAAGGAGTTAATGCGGTACGTCGGATCAAAACGATTTAAGACGTCAATAGTTCGAGACAGTTTGTGATAACGTCGTCCATTAGATGATACTTTTTTTGACCACGAAACGATCTAGACCATTTTTTGTCTCCAAAATTCAAATTCGTTCTACATTATTATATAGATAATAGGTTGTTGAACACTTAAATCAATTATAACAATGTCCTTGTGAAATAGATAACATTTGTTACTAAATTAAGAGAATGTGGGTCATAGATGTGCAAGTAGAAGTTTAGATATCAAATTTTTTTTCTTTCTTTGTTTTTTTAATTCTATAAAGATAAAAAATTTAGAATGGGTTAAAAAAATATATTAGATGGTGTTAATATAGAGGAGTTAGCTTCATTAGTAATAGAGTCGAATGAACCTTAGTTTGAAATAAAAGGTGAAATGGGGATGAAAAATAATATTTAATGGGGGACAGTCTCACCCAAAATATTTAGATCCTCAATTTATATCTTTAATAATTAAAATATTTAAATTATATCTTTAAACATGTAAAAAAGTAATAATGTGCTCCAAAAGTAATAAATTTTTTTGATTTATTTTACAATTTTTTGTATTGTATCTGATGGGTCAATTCCAAGGACCCAACTCATGTTACAAGCCTAGTTTAAATTAAGAGCCCGACTTAAGAGAGATATAGTGAGTCCAACTCAAAGTGGTGCACACCCAATCAAGCTCATTAAGGTTTGAGAAGATACATCAGCAAAGGAGCATGCAGGGTCATCCAAAAGCCTCATCCTCACTGTCTTGGAAAGAGTTAACTCACACATCATCCTTTGACCGAATCCTATGGAGAGCACCGAAACTGCCTCATTAGTTGAGAAGAGGACGTCAACTCCACTAGATTAGCCACATAGTTACTAATAACTCACTCAAATCTGTTATGAGGCGACTATAAATTGTAAGTCTCATCAACACTTAGGGCATCACACTCAGTCGAGCATAACTCTCTCATCTCTCTCAGCTTGTAACTCCCTACTCTCCCTATACACTTGAAGTAATAAAATACCCTAGTGATTTTAGTCATTCAAAGTGAACATAGGTCACGTTGACCGAACCACTATAAGTCATTGTTTTGCTTGTGTCTCCATCTCTCTACTTTACTACTGCATTTTTTATTGTTCACTTGACAAGTGGTGTGTAAAGCCCAATTTGTTCATCATCAGTAACAATGATATTCAACCTAAAATATTTATAGCATTTTAATAATCAAATACTCACACACAATAAATTTTCAATTAAAATATCTTATTGTAGCTCCTAGTCTTATGGTTATATGTTAAAACTAAAATGCCAAAATGGCCAAAAGTTAAAGACTAAAATAAGGAGTTTAATAAAATGTGGTCAACCAATCTATATAATAAAATAGAACTATTTTGAATTTTAGAGATAAAGAGCAGCTCAAATCATTTCATAACCAAAAAAGTCATCATCCAATGGACGGTGATATCTCAAACTGTCTCAAGCTATTGACGTCTCAGATCGTTTTGATCCGACATACCACATTAACCCTTTTGAAATATTTTTGCTTCTCAAAATTTTTAGTTTTCAAAATTGACACCTCTATATTAAATTCACCTCTCAATCTCACCCAAAATCAATGACATTTAAATCTAAAATTCTGTACATATCTAAAATTAACATCCATATTTAAATTTTGACCCCCGCTCATGCTGCTCTTTTTCACATGACACTCAAGAATATTCAATATAATGATGATAGTATATTATTTACTTCGCTTTCATTTATCACCTACATTCATCTCGATCTTTTTTACCCAATTATTTGTGATATCCCCTTTCTCCTCTGCCTCCCACTCTTTCTCTCTTTGTTCCTCATCTCAATCTTTGCCCCTAACAAATAGTCACCTAGGGCCGGCCCAACAGTACGAAAAAAAAACATAGGCTTTAGGCCCTAAATTTTTAGAAGATCCCATAATTTTAGGTACATCACTAATCCACGAAAAAAATTAAATCCATTAAATTTTAAGCCCAACAAAAAGTTCCAAAAAATTAAATTCAATCAAAATTTTTATTACAATAATTTGGGTCTATAATCCAATCCATAATATTAAAAACTTAGAATTAAAAAGATAAAAAAAATACTCAAAAATTAACTCACATTTACTTCCATCCACTCTCTTTCTCTCTCTCTCTCTCTCTCCCCCTCTCTATCCAATAAAAAAATGAAAACAAAAGTTAAAATTAAACATCTTCTCTGTGATAAAAAATAAAAACAAAAATTGAATTCTCTTTCTCAACAAGATTAACACATTATTCTTTTGTCTCACTTTCACATAAAAAATTAAAAATAAATTAATTTTTTTAAAAAATAATACTAAAAATAAAAAAAGGCTTCATTTAATATTTCTACTTTAGGTCTCAAATTGGCTTAAGCCACCCTTGTAGCCATCAGTGCCTGATTACGCCCAAAGAATAATACGGTAATTGTAGCACAGATTTAGTGTGTCGATTCCACAGAGAGACAAATTAAAAGAATAATATAAGGAATAAAGAAACTAAAGAAAAATATTAAATGATTACTGGAGAACAAAGATTAATTTTAAATGTAAATTAAAGTGATTAACAGAAAAAGTACTCAAATTTGACAAACAGTAAAACGTCGGGAATCCTTTGCACAAATCTGGTATTTTAATTATTCTTAATTCATTAAATAACTCAACTAGGAACTCAATTCCCAATCTGAAGGTATAAATTTATAAACCAAGATTAAACCAAATTCAACAACGACAATATATTCGAGAAGCAATATTGCAGTAAAAAATTAAATCAATATAGATAAATAATTGATCCAAACATAATCAAACAACTAATCCATTTAATAGAAAAAGTCTGACTGAATTCATAAACAAAATAAATTCCATGACTATTCAGAGAAGAAAACATCAACAATAAATTAAGAATAATAAAACAAAAGAATTTTACTAATTAGAAATCAAATGCATAAATTAAAAATAAATAAAATATCATATATTGTGCAAGTTCATCCCTCGCCTTACCTAAGAATTAAGTTATCTATATAATAAAACAGAGACACCTTGAATTTTATCCCCATTATATCCCCCCCCCCCCCAAATTAACCCAACCCACCTATCACAACGGCTCCCTGCA